ACCTCCATCACTTACCACCTCTAACACCATCATCTCCACCACCTGCAGCTCTGTCTACCACCTCCACCACCATCACCACCACCACCTCCATCACTATCATCTCTACCACCATCATCTCCACCACTTGCAGCTCTACCTCCTCCACCACCATCACCACTACCACCTCCATCACTATCATCTCTACCACCACCACCTTGATCATCATCATCTCCATCACTGACTCCAACACCACCACCTCCACTTTACGGCTGCCATGAGGAATTCTTATCATCACCATTACTTCCACCACCACCGTCATCACCTTGATCAGTCATTCTCATCACCATCATCACCACAACTAGCATGTGGAAGAGAAGATACATGAAATATTTACCCCTATTTTCATGATTAAAGGGGCTTCAGAAAATAGCTAAAATTGCTTTATATCAGTAAATAAGTTAGAGTTAGAAAAATGAATAGAAATTATAAAGAATTATGATCACATTTCAGTAATTATAAGCAAGGTCCTTCATGGACCTGGGGGATACAAGTGGAAGTTTGGGAATAAATAATGATGTTTTAAACTTGGCGTACAAGGAGTGTATTTGACTAAGGTGACATAGTTGAGGTGAGCCTCCAACTGCTCACGGATGTCTGAGTCCCCTACGAGTAGAAACCAAAGTTAATTCTTTTTGCATTAGGAACTCATTCAATCTAGAAGTAGTTGGTTCCTTCTGACTATTTTTATTAGTTATTCATCATTTTACAGGACTGGAATACTTTCTGTTTTAAACACGTAAGACATTTTAGGTCAGGGGAATATTCCTTCTGGTCACTGTTCCCAATCCTTGCTTCTTCAGCCCCATTCACACAGGAAACAGGAAACCGAGATTGTAATTTGACAATATTTTTTGCTCCACATTTTTCTCACCTTTCTGTGCATATTTATAAGCAACATGGCATTGAATCATGCATATATTTTACCTAAATGGTATACTTTGTCTTCCTAGTCCTTGATGACTTTTTGTTTTTGTTGTTAAATATTTTTTTTTAGTTGTGATTGGACACAATACCTTTATTTTATTTATGTATTTTATGTGGTGCCGAGGGCCGAACCCAGTGCCCTGCACATGCTAGGCGAGCGCCCTACCACTGAGCCCCAGCCGCAGCCCCAGCCCTTGGAGTTTTTCACGTAATAAAATAGCACAGTGGTTAAGAGGAAAGATCTTGGAGCCAGAACACCTGGATTCAGATCTCAAATTTGCCACCTGCTTGTTGTGTGGTCTGCATTATTTAGCCTCCTTTGGCTTCAGCCTCCTCCTTTGTAAACTGGTATTATAGCATACCTCTACTCACAGGGCTCCTGTGAGAATCCAGTGAATTCATTTATGTAAGCACTTGGAGCCATGCCTGGCACACACTGATGACAGGTTTAAAGTGACTTTATTAGTCATCAGGTTCCTTAGTAATTTATAGGTCCGATCTGACACAGTTTATTTAGCCATTTCTAAAGTGATAGATATAGAGGCTGCTCGGATTTCCACTATTTCTAACAAAGCTTAAGGCTATCTTTATCTATGCCTCCTTATTCACATGGAATAGAGGTGGATCAGAAGTAAAATTGCTGCATTCTATGACTATAAAGGCTTTATTAGAAAAACACCACTATAATGAGTAGACATCTCCCTCTTGTTCCTTCCACCTGTTGGTTTTTGTTCTGCCTCTTGGCAGCCTGAGCCAAGCAGCAAGCTCTGAGGCAGGAGATCCTGGTGGTTAGAGCTCACAACCTCAGATTCAGATTAACTTCACGGGAGGGGTGGGTTCACATTTTGGGGGTCTCACTGCATGCTGGGCCCACTTCTCAGCATTTATATGTAATAACTAATTCCATCATGATGATGTAGGTACCAGGACTATCCCTGTTTTACTTGTGAGGAAAATGAGGCCAATGGACCCATGGGTCTAAGTGGTAGATCCTGTGTCCAGTTGTGAATGTCATCAGCCCGTATAATACTCTAATATTCTGCTCAGCACAGAAACAGCATCCAACAGATGCCACATTATTCTAGGCTGATTGGTGATTACTAGGGCTACAAAATTATTATCACCATTACCTTTGCTACCTTTAGACTGCAATGGGGCTCATCTCCGAGGTTTGTCTTAACAAAATGATAATGAAGCATGGTCTCAAGCTCTGGTTGAGCCATCTGCTTTATTCGTTCCGTTAACTACAGAATACCTTCCTCACCTTTCGGGAGACCTGTGGACCAGTGTCCATATTGGCAGCCCTGTAGTTTGTCCACACATAAGATAAGTGCAAATCAAGTCGAATGCAAATCTAGGTACATGAATACTCATTTGTGATGGAGCAGGAACTGGCGGATGATTAACCAGATGCCTGGGAAAGAGACCAAGTGGGGATGGGGGTAGGGGGCAAAGGATCTGGGGCCTGGAGGAGAGACCCCAGCTAGAATGAGGCGCTGGAGTGCTGGAGGCCGACGAGACAGGGACTTCCTTCTGATCCAGAAAACTGTGCTGGAGAGAGATGGCCCTCATTCGTGGATTGTGACCGAAGCCTGAGACACAAAGATGAGCAAGACAGAGCCCCTGCCCTCAAGGAGCTCACCTGCTCACAAGGAGGGTTGAAATGTGAAGGAACGATTGCAAGACAGGGTGGTCCACGGGGACACGCTCTGGGGTGCTCAAAAGTGTGGAGGGGGACACCCTGAGTGTCTTCCTTCCTGGTGGAGAAGAAGGCTGGAGCCAGGAGCCTTCGGAATACGTCAGAGGGTCAAAACAGAGCGAGGAGGAGGAGCCTGTGCAGAGGTGTGACGATGACACCAAGCCCCGCAGGGACCCTTGCGGGGGACCCCTGCGGGGATCTGGAGGGACAGAGGTGGAAGAGAGGGACTGCATCACCAAGGACCCTGAATGCCACCTTAAGCAGTTTAGACTTTTATCTTAAAGGGTGCGAGCAGCAACCAAAGGAATTTTAGACCATAAAGAACATGTCTTAATTTCACAAGGTAAGTTATTTCCTCAAATACCGGCATCCGGAGGCCTTGAAGCCAGCCCCGACCTGCTGGAGAGAGGGATCAAGCTGGGCTGGATCAGAACCATGCTGTGTTGGCAGTGGCCTTGGGAAGGCTAGAAGGCGGACCTTGGTCAGGATGACTGGGTTTGACTGGTTACCTTGGCCTGTCTGGCAGTGTCATGTGGAACAAATAAATCACGGAATACCTTCGGTCTGACCCGTTGTCGCAGAGCTATTTCATGTCATTCTTAAAATAACTTGTGAATTTAGCACCGAGGCCACTCCCAACCTGGGGTGAGTAAAGCAGAGCTCCGAGGAGCTCATACTTCTGGGCTCCTGCACACTCCAGGGCCCTTTTCCCACCTGCAGCTGTCTTCAGAAGACAGTGAGAAATAAGGTGTGGCGTTCCGCAGGCCATGGTGGAGCGTCACTTTGTATACTTGCGGAAAACAGAGACCCCGGCTCCTGTGCCTTTGCTCTATGCCCAGAGAGGACTGTGGTACTGTGACCGGTGGCCCTGCTCGGGGTCTGAGGGATAAGCACGTGCCTTTCCCAGAGGAGGGAGGCAGGAGAGCTAGAGACCAGTGTGTTCTCAGGGAGGCAGCCCTTCCCCCGGGTGAGGCCGCAGGCAAGACCTGCAGGGTTTGTGGGGGGACTAGGGACCTCCTGCTTTCAACACAGGGATGGGCCAGGTCAGCACAAACACATCACCCTCTGGCAAAACTGCTCCCTCCCAGGACAGGCCTGACTCTGCTTGTTAAATCTCAGCCGCGCGGTTTGGCAACCTGGCCCTGCAGGGGTTGCCTTTCTTGTATTTATGACAAGGAAAAGGGGTTTCTTAACTGCTGTCTGTAAGAGTGAGTGGGTGGAGGGGGCTATGGTGAAATGGGGTACCACCCCACCCACCCCTGCCAGGCTCCCGGCCACATCAGGACCTGGGTCTGGGGAACTCCGAGTCATTGGCAGACTATGCTCAGGAAGGTGGGATGCTCTGGGATTCCTGGGCCCCACACTTCAATTCATTGCTTATTCAGATGTTTTCATTTACCCCTGATAACATATCAGCCACGGACCATGACCTTTACATCAGGGCTTGATCTGATCTCCGCAGTAACCCTCAGAAGGAGCTGTTCATGTCTCCATTTTAGAGATCCGAATCTGTGATGTCCATGGACATTCTTGTCCGTTTGATGCCATACCCATTGCCACCCCGTGGGCACAGGGACCTGTTAAACCTCTCTCTGCAGGTTGCCGGCAGCATCCGATGGGATAACAGGCATGCAGGTGTGTGATAGACCATGGAGAGCCGCGTGCCTCCGGGGACTGACATCCAGCAGGAGCCAAGGCCCAGAACACTGCAGAGCCGAGTGACACTGCCCCGCGTGGGCCAGAAGGCCAAGGTCTCCCTGGTGACAGCCTCCCACATACTTGAGCTGGGTGGTAGGTGGTGTTAGTTAAGGTTCCAGAGCACAATATGACGCCCAATTCTCCCCTCCCCCGTTACAGCTCCCTCAGAGTTCTGAGCTGGGACAGTGGGTGCTAAGCAGAGGAAGGTCACGTCCATGGTGGCTCCTCGTCCTGGGGTCCCTGGGGTGGGCCAGGGGAGTGCCCTGATATTCCGGATCCAGAATTCCTGCTTGCTTGGATTTGTGTGCAAAGATCTGAGAAGCAAAGCATGTGGAAAAAGATGGAGGGTCTTCGTAATGAACTGTTGGTTCATTGATTTGTCACTGTGACTGTCAGTCACCTCCTAGTCCCTCAGATGTCTAGGTCAAGAATCTTCACTTGTATCATATTTTGTTTATTTATTAATATCCTGTTCTTGAGCCCAGAGCAAAGGGTATGTGTGTTATAAGGTTTATCAGACAGAAACAGATAATCAGAACCCTGGAGAGGAAGATGGATCAGACCAGGTTTCATGGGAAGTTATTCTCCATGAATGTATAAAATGTCAAAATACACTCTACTGTCATGTATATCTAAAAAGAACAAATAAAAAAAGTAAAAAAATGACATTGTTTTTGCATATATTAATTACCTTGATTTAGGCACTTAGGCATTTCAAAATATATAAACATTAAATATCATGTTTTTACACGTATATATATATATATGTATATATAATTTTTAACACAATAATTAAAATGAAAATAGAATAATGTGGAAAAAACCCCTCAAACTCAAAATATCCAAAGTTCAAATTTTAAAAGTAATTTTTCATTCTGATTTGTTATATATGATAGCAGAATGCATTACAGTTCATGTTACACATATAGAGCACAATTTTTCATATCTCTGGTTGTACACAAAGTACATTCACACCATTTGAGTCTTCATACTACATGTACTTAGGGTCATGATGACCATCTCATTCCACCATCTTTTTTACCCTGTTGCCCCCTCCTTCCCCTCCTAGAGTCTGTCCTGTCTAGAGTTCCTCTAATCCTCCCATGCTCCTGCTCCCAGCCCCACTATGAGTCAGCCTCCTTATATTAGAGAAAACATTTGGCATTTGTTTTTTTGGGATTGGCTTACTTCACTTAGCATTATACTCTCCAGATCCATCCATTTACCTGCAAATGCCATGATTTTATTATCTTTTTATGCTGAGTAATATTCCATTGTGTATATACACCACATTTTCTTTATCCATTCATCTTCGGAAGGGCATCTAGGTTGGTTCCACAGTTTAGCTATTGTGAATTGTGCTGCTTTAAACATTGATGTGGCTGTGTCCCTGGAGTGTGCTGTTTTTAAGTCCTTTGGGTATAGACTGAGGAGTGGGACAGCTGGGTCAAATGCTAGTTCCATTCCCAGTTTTCCAAGGAAACTCCATACTGCTTCTCATATTGGCTGCACCATTTTGCAGTCCCACCAGGAATATATGAGTGTGTATTTTTCCCCACATCCTTGTCAACACTTACTGTTGTTTGTATTCATAATAGCTGCCATTCTGACTGGAGTGAGATGGAATCTTAGAGTAGTTTTTGTTTGCATTTCTCTAATTGCTGGAGATGTTGAACATTTTTTCATATATTTGTTGATTGATCGTATATTCTCTCCTAAGAAGTGTCTGTTCAGTTCCTTGTCCCATTCATTGATTGGGTTATTTATTAATTTATTTTTTGTATGGTTTTTTTTTTTTTGGTGTGTCTAGCTTTTTCAGTTCTTTATATATCCTAGAGATCAGTGCTCTATCTGACGTGCAAGTGGTAAAGATTTGCTCCCAAGCTGTAGGCTCTCTATTCACTTCACTGATTGTTTCTGTTGCTGAGAAGAAGCTTTTTAGTTTGAATCCATCCCATTCATTAATTCTTGATTTTAATTCTTGCAATATAGGAGTCTTATTAATAAAGTAGAGGCCTAATCTGATATGATGGAGATTTAGGCCTACTTTTTCTTCTATTAGACACAGGGTCTCTGGTTTAATTCCTAGGTACTTGATCCACTCCAAAGGCCAATTTTTAAAATAAAATATCTAGCTTTTGATTATAAAAGCAATGAAAGCTTACTTAGAACGTTTGTAAAATCTAGAAAACATCAGTAATAAAAGAAAAATAATATGTATATCTAGATAACATTGTTATTATTTTAGAGTATACAATTTCTTTTAAAAAAATATTTATTTTTTAGTTGTAGTTGGATACAATACCTTTATTTTATTTTATTTTATTTTAATATGGTGCTGAGGATGGAACCCAGGGCCTCCCATGTGCTAGGCGAGCACTGTACCACTGAGCCCCAGCCCCAGCCCTAGAGTATTCAATTTCATATTTGTTATTTTAAAGCCTCCTTTTCATCTTTTCACTTAATAATAATCATTGTTTTACTATAGAGTTTTTTTTTTTTTTCTAGTGCTGGGGGTTGAACCTAGGGGTTCTCTGCCACTGAACTATATCCACAACCCCTGTTCTTTTTTATTTTGAGTCAGGGTCTCACTAAGTTGCCCAATTTGGCTTGGAACTGCCTCAGCCCCCTGATTCTCTGGGATTATAGGTGTATGCCAGCAGGCCAGGCTGAAGTTTGCTTTGATGACGGAATAGTGTTCTATTGTGTGGATATGCCTCTACTTATTTAATTAATTTTCCACTAATAACTTATGATTGCTCCACCACACTTTTATAAAATGGTTGCCATAAACACAATTGTTATTTGTAAACAGGGTTGATTTTTTTCTCATGGTAAATTCCTGGAAGCAGGATCCTGAGGTCACAGTACCTCTATAGTGTTTTTTTGTATGTGTGAGGACACAGACTGGGGCAGATGACTCAGGATTGGCCTCTGCTGAATGGCCTGGGAGGACGTGTCCGGAAGGCGTCCTGCCTGGTGAATGTGACAATAGTAGTAGCTCCTCCTTTGCGGAGTCGCTATGAGATGCATGCGATTGAATGCTTGGGAAGGACTTAGATCATGGCCTGACCCACAGTGAGCTCAAAACTCTGGGCTGTGATCGTCCTTATTATTGTTGTTATTGGCAGCTTGTCCTCCTTTGGGACTGTCCCAATTTACACTCCTACCAGCATTGTATGAGAGCGTTGTCTTCATACGCCTTAGTAAACACGGGGTATTATCATTCCTTTATTAGTTCATTGTTTGCCGACCTGATAGTCTAAATTGTTGCTTTAATTTCATTTATTTTATATTAGTGACAAACATTTTTGGGGCATCTTTATTGGTATTTGTTATTTGTGAATTTTCATTTATGACTTTTTCATGTTTCTGGTATAGGTGGTTCATCTTTTTCTCATTCGTTTCTTACTTAATGGATTATGAATATTATTCTCTTACTAGTCAATGGAAATACAGGTTTTAGTTTTCTTGTGCTATTTGATTGTGCTCCTCTTTGGGGACTTAGAAACTGTGTTTTTCTTTCTTCTTTCACATTCAGAAGCCCACTGTGAGATCAAGTTACCTATCTTTTCCCAACCTTTAATCATTTTTTTTTCAATTTTCTTTTTTTTTTAATTCAAATGAAATTAATTTGGAATTTTAATAATGAATTTCCCCAACTCTTAGCTTATTTATCAATTAATGTTTAATCTACCTCATTAGATATTTTTGGTTGTTTCTTCATTGTCTCATCTGTTCCGTTAATATCTCTATTTTCCTATACTTATATTTTTAAGTTTTCTTGTAGCGTTATGAAATATTTTAATATTTGTGGATACAGGAAGATTTTTGCTAATTTTTAAATAAATATTTTCTTGGCTATTAATATCATCTTAATTTATAGAAGTAAACAAATAATTTTTTCATTTAATTTTGATTTAACTTGTATTCACTTTTATAAATTATTTTGGGGAGAATTGATATTTTCACCACTTTCATACTTTCCTATCTAGAAACATAACAGTTCTTTCTCACTTAATCAAGACATTTTAAAACCATTTTTTATTTTAGAATAGTTTCAGAATTACAGAAAAGTTGCGAACTTAGTAATGTGTCCCAGAAGACTCCACGCCTAGTATTGATAACATCTTACATTATTGTAGTACATGTGTCACAACCATTGATTGTGACAAATGTATTACAATAATGTAAGATGTATTGACCTATTGAATATATATTGATACATATTATTGTTGATTAA